GAAGCATGGTGGTTTGAGGAGCTGTTTGGGTTGGTGGGAGATCGAGCTTAGTGGAGTGCATTGGCAACATAAGTTTTGCGAAATATTGGAGGAAGGACTCTTACTACTTTATTCCTCAGGTTTTGTGAACAAGAACACAACGTTGTTCCAGGAAGATGGAGCACCGTGTCATACTGCTAGAAACACCCAAAAGTGGCAGGAAGAAAATGGTATCCAGAAGTTGCCCTGGCCGAGCCAATCTCCTGACATAAATCCCATCGAAAACCTCTTGGGCCATACTCGACTGGCAAGTCAAGAAACAACCAAAAAAACCAACTTCGAAGAGCGATCTACTCCAAGTTTTGAAGCAAGTGTGAGCGAAAACCCCACAATTTAAAATTGACGAGATGATTCTCACGATGCCCCAAAGGATCAACGAACTCCACGAAGCGAAAGGAAGATCTACTAGATATTAATTAAATTATAAATATATCAATTCATGTGAATATGACTGAAAAATTTCATTTTAATTGAAAAGGTGGTGTCTGTTTACTTGTGACCATGCTGTGTACATACAGTAAATAAAGAACAGAAGGCTGTGTTATGAGCTTTACATTAAATTACTTTGAACATACAGTAAATAAAGAACAGCAAGGCTGTGTTATGAGCTTTACATTCAATTACCATGTACATACATTAAATAAAGAACAGCAAGGCTCTTTTATGAGCTTTACATTCAATTACCATGTACATACAGTAAATAAAGAACAGAAGGCTCTTTTATGAGCTTTACATTCAATTACCATGAACATACAGTAAATAAAGAACAGAAGGCTGTGTTATGAGCTTTACATTTAGTTACCATGTACATACAGAAAATGAAGAACAGCAAGGCTCTTTTATAAGCATTACATTCAATTACCATGAACATACAGTAAATAAAGAACAGAAGGCTGTGTTATGAGCTTTACATTCAATTACTATGAACATACAGTAAATAAAGAACAGAAGGCTGTTTTATGAGCTTTACATTCAAAGTGGAGTTTAATTTTGTGCTATACTCCACATATTATGAATTTGATATGTGATATGTCTGTTTAAAAGTTAAGTTAGATTTAGGTTATATAGGTGTTATAAGTAAGATTAACATTAGATTTTATGGTTTAACATTGTAATTATAAGAAAAAGTTTATAACTTTGTTTGAACTGAGTTGTGTAATAGTTACCATAAAATTTTTTGGTCAAAATATTTCTTGATATGCGTCTGTACTGAGGTCTAAATAATCACAGTACTCAAACTCTAAAAAATTTATAGTTGCAATTAAAAAAAGTTTTATTTCCAAAAGCAGCTCCTAATCATATATATTACCATTTTTCTGTTTTTATTCTACTAATACAAGTCTCCAACACCAGAAAAAAATAAAAATAAAGTAGTAGTTAGAGAGCTTGCGTAGGGAAGAGGTCCAGCATTTTGGGATAGATAAATTAGCTTTTTGCTTAAGACAGTAAAATAAAGATGCTACTGATGAAATCATTTGTTAAGGTAATCATGCATTTATAATGTCATCTCTGCTGTTATGTCTCATTAAAATGAGGACATCAACTGCAGGTAGCTAGTGAGAGAGGAGGAAACTGAGTGTCATGTTCTTTCCCTATACATTGTGTGTGTAATTATTGTTTTCCCCAGTACATATGCAGAGTAAAATATTCCAGAAATTTGAACCTCAAAACTACTAAAAAATTTGGAAACTATGGTATATAAACAAGACTCCAGCTTGATAGACTACAGTTTTTTTTTTTCAGAAAGTACACAATAAAAATATTTTTATAAAATAATTGTTTAGTTTGTAAAAAGATCAAGGTAGCTAAGGAAAAGTGGCTAATAAAATACTGATAAGTGAAAGGTGATTAAACAGCAAACTTAAGAAAAACATTGTCTTCTTTAGGTAGTGTTTTGGGTATCTTAGTAATCTTCTATGGATTACAAGCTACCTAACATATTTCCTTTTCTTTTGATGATATTATAGTCTGTGCCAGAGAATCTCTTAAGTATAGAGAATAAAGATGAAAACACTTTAGATAGTTTCTTTTCCAGGGAAGATTTCTATGACATCGTTTTTCTGGTATCTTACTTGAAAGAAGTAATGATTTAATAAAAGTTCATTGAAATCAAGAAATTTCTCTTTGTGGGAGTCAAGAGGGAAGTTTGTTGGTCATGCTTGATCTTGTCATGAAAATACCACACAAGAAATGGACATTTAAAATGAGCTGGTTCAAATGCTATCCAACACAATCAGTATTCACCTTGACTGCTAGAAGAATACTTATTAATAGGTTATCTTCAACTGTATTCTGAACATAATCTACACAGTGGTTTGTGTCAGCTACTTAGACCCTCCAACTGAAGAGTGCCGAAGTCAGTGTCAACAATAATTTCTTTGGCTTTTTGTCACCAAAAGACACAAGTAATGGTGGTATGACCAATTTTGTTTTGAGTAAATTTGAGAATAAAAGGCCAAGGATATGACAGTGGAACCAGTTTAAGAGGTAAAAACAGTGGTCTTCAAAAAAAGAAAAAGAGTTAAAGAATTAAGTGTATGAACTTTTTCTTTAAATCAACTCATACTTGAATCTTGTTTAGAACATTCTAGAACTGTTGCATCGAGGCAATGACATTTTTGTTTCAAAGCATCTGCTTTTCTGCTTCAGCTTGTTGTTGGGAAGTGGAATTGATGTAACTCGTATAATCTGATAACAGATGCTAAATGCAGAAGACAGAACCCTTTCAGGAGTCAGTGTAACAAAGTTGCATTCAAGGTTGTCAAGGTACTTAAGTTTCAAATTTGTAGCTAGTGTGATAATGTTGGCACATCTTTATGAAGTCAGCTTTTCAGTCAAGTAACTGCAAGATAGAGATCTTGACTTGTATTCAGAAAGTACAGAATTTCTTTATACAATGCAGGGCTTATGAAGATAAGGCATTGTTAGGTATAAAGAAGTTTGCAGAAGAAATGGAAGTCATTAGAAAATATTTGCAAGAGCATCAGATTTAATTACAAAAGAAAGAAGAAAATTCTTATGTGGATGCTGTGATGAAGCTATCCTTTAGCCACAGCAAAATGTAAAGGTCAATTTCTTTAACATTTGTTGACTCAACCATTGAATCTATGGAAGAAAGGTTTTGGCAACAACAGGAAAATTCTTTATTTTCCTATACCATATTGTTGGTGTGTTGAAACACCATTTGGATATCATACCAAGTTATTATATGGCAAGAAACCAATGTCACTGAAACCGAATTGTGTTGATGAATTGCAAGCCCTCTCATGGGGTGTTTCTGAAATGTTTCCGAAAAGTTTGTTGGAGTATAAGTATATGGACAGCTTAGCATTATCTTTTCTCAACACCTTTGTCACATTATCCATTCTGCAGACATTGCCTGTGACTGTTGCTAGTGGAGAAAGAAGCTTTACAAACTCAAATGGGTTAAATCCTACCTGAGATCAATCTCAACACAGACAAAACTGATTGGACTGACAACAATGTCAGTTGAGGCATGAAATTTCCCAGAAGTTAGACCCGAAGCAAGTAATATGCAATCTTAGTTCAGTGAAAGCAAGAAAAGTGAAATTCCATAACTTGAAATTTTGAACTGACAAAGTAGTCAAGTTTGAGTCTTGCTATAATGTTTCCTTGGGCTTTGTTTGTAAATATAAACTAATTTGATTTAGGAGGCAGCATCACCTAGTGGTTAATGCTTTGGCCTCACAATTGAAAGTTGCAGATTCAAGGTTTGGCTGCAACATGTTATGATTTTGAGCAAAACACTTTATCCAATTTGCATTAGTCCACTCATTTGTATAAGGGGTACTAGTGGGTCTCTAAGTACCATATCCAAACATGATGTTGGTGACCATGGTTTTCCACAGATCTGTTCTTGGAGCACAAATAATTTCCAATGTTGATACATTCACCCATTTAGCTAGACTCTTGACATAAGTCAACCTCTGTCTTCCATTGTCTCTCCTTTCTTCAATATTTCCAGTTACCACCAAACTTTCAATTTCTTCTTTCGTTATAATGTATCCTAGAAATTCCAACTTTCCTTTAATGATGTTAGTCAGCAGATTCCTCCTGCAACCTTTTCTTGACAAAATATCTTCATTTGAGGTGTCCAACTACCTTCAAGATGTACCTTAAGAACCAAAACTCATTTACTTCTTTTCCATATTGTCCAACATTCTGATACAAGTTAGTTGAACACTGCAACCTACTGCAGTATGGTATGGTACTAGTGGGTAGCTGGGGGTAAACCATTGATGGAATGGAGTTAAACACCAGCCTTACATGCCTGTGAGGCACAAAAGGTACCAAGTTACTTACTTGAATGTATTTGATTATTACACTTATATTTATTTTTCATAAGATTTGAAGGTAGGCAGCAAATTGAAAAATTTCTTAGAGCTGCAAAATATTTAACTAAAGTAGCTTAGCCAGTAAAACACAAATGGAATGTAAAAGTAATCAGACATGAATAAGGCACATGAACATGTCATGTAAATGAATACTACAATGAACACAGGAAATCAGAGAAATGAGAACACGTATATGAGGTTTAACCCTACTGATATGGGTCTACCTATGGTCACAGGTCAAAGGCCATGCCATCTCGTTTGTAGACTCACATTCAAAATTTTATTGAACTACTATTTTAACAATGTATATTATTAAGTTTGGTATCAAATTGCAGATTATAATTAAAATTTTAGTATTATACATTAGTTACTTTCTTAACTTCAAAGTAAATATAAAAAAAAGAAACCAAAATATGAACTTTTGTGTGTGACATGTTATGTTGAATACAGCATTGGTCTTATGTGTGTCACATGGTATGTTGAATACAGCATTGCTCTTTTGTGTGTCACATGGTATGTTGAATGCACCATTGGTTCAAATTAGATGTTTGTGATGTTCATATACAAAGTCTGTAGTTTCTTACGAATTAGATACTCAAATTATTGAACCTCCTATCTTTTCTATTTTCTCAAATATTAATACATTTATTGAATCAACCAAGGTGGACCTGCCCACCTCTTCCATTTTTTGAAAACACTTGCTTACGTACACCTACTTCATCCAATGATGTGTATATATATATATCCAATTGAAAGCTCAGAATGTCCTCCTAATGTTTTTCTCAGCCTCGGCGAAGTATTTGCATGGGAAAATCTTTCTTTTCATGCTAGATTCTAAGTGGTAAGGTAAGACATTAGTGAGCTCCAATAAATCATATTTTTTAGACCCAAATACAGCTTAGTTATAAGCTTGATAAATTATAGTGGAATTCTGTGTTATTGATATAGTAATTTATAATTTTTTTTATTTCAAAATACATATTTAAAACCTAAAAAAAAATTTTGTTTTAAATCCTTCATGTGCAAAACTTGATAAGACTTAGCAAATTAGGGCAAGCAGCAAACGAGTAAAAAGTTCATAACTAGAAGAGATAAGTGTTTCCTGTACTTCTTTATTTACTATTCTATGTTTTAGGGAAAATAACTTTCAAAACAGCAGTAATCTATGTACATATATAATAATTTCAATTATTATACATTATATATATATAATGTATAATAATTGAAACTTGACTGTAT